CGTCTTGAGAGCCTCTGGGGTCGTCTTGGAAGCCTCTTGGGCCGTCTTGGGGCCGTGTGGCGGCCCTGTTGGGCCGTCATGGTGCCGTCTCGGGGGCCTTTTGGGCCGTCTCGGGGCGGTCTTGGGGCCTCTGGGGCCGTCTTTTAGCGTCGGGGATTTGAAAAAGCGTAAATCCCAAAAACCTTCGAAAACCATTGAACAATCAACGAATTTTGTCCCTTTGGCCTCTCTTTGAAGGCCTCTTGGAGGCCCGTTGGGGCGTCTTGGAGGGCTCTTGGATCGGTTTGGAGGCCACTCGGGCCGTCTTGGCGGCATCTTGTGCGAAGTTGGAGGCCTCTGGATCCCTCCGGAGCCAGTTTGGAAATTATTTTGGACGGTTCTGGGCTATCTTGAGGCCGCTGGAGGCCGTTTTCCGAAATCCGCCAGCGCAGTTTCAAAGTGCAACGCGTACCCGATTACTAATTTTTACCACCAGCAAACGGTCCAACCAGGGGCGCTTCCCGTCAATCGCCGACCCCATTGTGGGTCTCCAGGTGTGCGAGATTCGATCCCTCCCATTGTCCCCCCCCCCACGGGACCCCAAACCGGACGTTTCAGGACGCTTCACAAAGCCTCCCAGAAGCCTCCCAACCAAGATGGCCCCGAACACCAAAACTCGTCCAATTCCTATGGGGAAGCAGTATACACGACTCTCCGGCCTCCGCGGCGTTTGAAAACGGCGCCTCTGGCGCCCAAGACCGACCCAAGAGGCCTACAGGAAAGGCCTCGGACGGCCCAGCAGGGCCCCAAGACGGCCCCAGAGGCGCCCAAGACAGCCCATGAGGGCCCGAAGAAGGCCCTGAGAAGGGCCTCGTGGGCCGTCCTGGGGCGCTCTCGGGCCGTCTTGGGGCTCTCTTGCGCCGTCGTGGCGCCCTCTTTGGGTGCCTCTTGGGCCGCGTTGAGCTGATTTCTGAGGCCTCGTGGGCTGTCTTGGACAGTCGGAAGCACGAAACAGTGAGAACACGAAAAACATGCAAAAACATAGAAAGTAATACTTGGTTCGCCTCCTGAGTGCCTCGTAGGAGTCCTTTTGAGAGCATCTTAGCCGTCTTGAAGCACTCTTGGGCTGTCGTCAAGCCAGGTTGGACCAATTTTGAAACGCTCTTGTGCGGTCTTGGGCTCTGTTGGAGCGCTCTTGGGCCATCTGGGCGCACTCTTGCCCTCTTTGACGTTTTTTGGCGCCCCCCGCCGGGCCCGAAACGGCCAAAAGGGCTTGAAAAGGAACAGCTTGGAGTCGCCACTGGGGCAAATTTGGCGTCGCAAGGTCTGGCCGATGTCGCTTCTGGCCCGAGAGTGCAACCAGACTGCCGCGAGGATCAGAATTAAAAGGGACAGGACGTGAGGAGTGTAGAGGCCCGCCAGGGGAGGGAATGTGTTGCGGAGCATTCATCTTTGGCGACCGTTCAAAAACTGCGGTGGAACTTTATTAAAAAGAACCAACAACGCAATCACGGGCAACTGGCGAGCGCTGGTATCTTTCAAACGATCGGCGGACTCAATACGAACGTCTTCCTCAATACACTGTCGCATGCTCTTTGATCAAAGGGATGAACATTTCACGGTAGACCTTGACAGTTTTCACCATTCCGGCGATACCACATACTAAAACAAGTGAGCACACGAGCTTCGGCATGTCGAAATCGGGATCGTAAAAGTACGCCGCGCAAGAGCTAATGGCCAGGCCTATTGCGGACACAGCAGCAGACACCTTGATGTCTAAGGAAGTTTGCGTACCGAACGATGCATAGACTCCCCCCGACAAGAACAACCACCCGCCGAAAAAAAGAGCCGCGCTCCAGCAATGAGGCACCTGTCCTGCATCATCATCCTGGAAGCCAACCTTGAAGAGCGTGGCAAAGCATATCGAAGAGATGGAGGCCCACGTGGCGTTTCTGGCACCCTGGCGCATAGTATTGAACGAGGCGAACCCTTGAAGAAGGATCACCATGAGCTCCCCGTGTGAACTTATTGTCAGCGCCCTCTCCTCGTCAATATTCGTACCTGACACTCCTGCCAAGTCACTCTGCTCTGCAGCCCGGCACAAATTCGTGGAGGGCTCCGGCGTGCTACCTCCATGCTCTTTGTTAGCGATGTACTCGCCAAGCCCCTTGACGTTCGCTGTGTAGTAGTACTCGAGCAGTGAATGCGTTGTTGTGTACATGCTGGTAGATATTGCAACACACAAGCACATCATCATGCCCTCCTCTGCGACCGTCTCCATTGAAAGCACGGTGGAGACAGCGATGCTGAATACGAGGGTGCTGATGAGGCCCAAGCTTGCAGCGGTGTCCCCGATTGAGCTAATCACTGTCATGTCCATACTATCGTAACTGACGGGCTTGCCCGGCCGCGCGGCACCCCGCGCCAACGCGCGGTGCATCCCTCGGGGACCGGCCGGCGCCGGGGCCTACGAGCAGCGGTCGGATGCGCTCGGCAAGGCCTGAGTCCGGGTGGCCCAGGCTCGAGCCAGGGCGGCCTTGAGCGAAAATGGCTTGAGCCAAAATGGCTACGGAGAAGATTCAGTTCACTTTGGGGGGCCAGGGACCTCCTACCTATTTTATGTATTTGCGTTCGTATGTGTATATATATACACACACACACTCATGTTTATATAGTTTCCCAGGGACCCCAGAAAAAGCGCACCCCGCCACCTAACGAATTTCGGACTCCCCGGGCTGCTTGAAGCACCCCCCGGGCTGCTCGGACGCCCTTGCAAAGGGTTCCTTCGGCCTACCGGCCTTCTCGGAAGGTCCAAAGAGGCCTCCAATATTGCCCAAGACAGCTCGTCGACAGTTCCAAAGCACACCAAAACCTTCAACATGGCTTCCAAACGTCCCAAGAGGCCTCCGAGAGGCTTCCCCAGAGGGCCCGAAGAGGCAAAACTCATTGATTTTTCAATGGTTTTGAAGGCTTGTTCTGTTTCCGCTTTTCCGGGACAAGAACGGCCCAAGACGGCCCAAGAGACTCCAACGATCGTCCCAACACGGCCCCAGAGGCCCCCCGAAGGGCTCGAAAACGGCCCAAGAGGGCCCCTAGACGGCCCAAGAGGGCCCGAAAACTACAAGGGAGCCTCAAGACGGCCCCAAGAGGGCCTCAGGAGCATCCCAAGAGGCTCCCAAGAGGGCCCCAAGAGGCCCCCAAGACAGCCCGAAGACGGCCGAAAGCCTCCAAGACGGCCCAAGACGGCCGGAGAGGGCCCAAAACGGCCCAAAAAAGGGCCCCCAAGAAGGCCCAAAGAGGCAAAATTCATTGATCTGTTGAAAAGGTTTGAAGGTTTTTTCGGTTTTCGCTTTTTCGGGCCACGAACGGCCCAAGGCGGCCCAAGAACGTTTACATGAAATTTCCCGTTAAAGCAATTATTGCACGGATGTAGACATCGTTTAACAATACATTACCGTGTAAAACGAGCGTCAAAAGCTCTTGGGACGTTCAGACGTTGGAAGGCGCTGTCATTTGGTATCCATACGTACATACATACATACATACATACACATGCACATGCATACATACGCAACATAAACTCACATGTGCACACACATCCCCCCCCCAAACGCATTTCGGACTCCCCGGGCTGCTGGGAAGCCCCTTCCCGGGCTGCTCGACCTGCTGGGAAGCTCCCCGGGGGCTGCTCGGACGCTCTTGCAACGGGGTTATTCGACCTTCCGGCCTGAGGTGTTCAGACCACTCTTCGCTTGAGACTCCCTCGCACAGCTGACTTCGGAGATGCCCTGCCCCATAGTGCTCGGGCCAGTTTCGCCTGAGACATCCTCGCAACGTCAACCTCGGATACGCCTTGCCGCGTAGCAATCAAACAAGTAGCACTCCGACACGTTCACAAGGTCTCCAGATTTTTCCCAAAAGGTTCTGGCGGCGCCCCTCGTTGAGTCCCTCTCAGGTCCTCCTGTCTTTCAACGCTCTCGGAGGCCAGCTCCCAGCGTCTTGCATCCGCGTCAGTTCCAGCCTCCATGCCATGACTTCCGATCCTGAGCGTTCGTGCCTGCCAGTCCTCGGGTCCGCGGGACTCCTCCCATTACTCTTTCCCTTCGCATTCCTCCTTCCCACTGTCGGCTGAGACATCCTCGCAACTCTGACCCCAAAGAAGCCCTGCCCCAAGGTTGTCCGGCCACTTCCGCTTGAGACCTTCTCGCAACTCTGGGTTTCGGGGTTCCCTGAGCTGAGGTGTTCCGGCCACTTTCGCTAGAAACATCCTCGCAACTCTGGATTCCGTGAAGCCCTGCCGCAGAGTAGTCCGCCACTTTCACCTGAGACACCCTCGCAACTTTGGATTCAAGGATGCCCTGAGCTGAGGTGTTCAGGCCATTTTCGTTTGAGACATCCTCGCAATTCCGGGTTCGGGTATGTCCTCGGCTGAGGTGGTCAGTTCACTTTCGCTTGAAACATCCTCGCAACGATGACATCGGAGATGCATTGCCCCGTAGTAGTCTGGCTACTTTCGACTGAGACCCTCGCACCTCTGAGTTGCGAGATGCCCTGAGCAGGCGGTCAAGGCATTACCGCCTGAGATACGCATGTGTATGCGCAGCCATAATTACATATAGGCGCGTGCAACAACAAACACCTGCGATTGACATTTACATATACATATACATACACATGTTTATATGTAATATGTATACACGTATACAACCATATACACGTGTGGTATACACATAGATATATGTGCAGAGCGTGCATGCGCGTGCGCGTGTATACATGCATGCGCGCATGTACGCACGCACGCACCCCGCCCGCGTGCGAAATTCTGAGGACCAAGGTGCATGGCGCGCAGCGCCAATGCAGCCTTGTATCTATACATATACATATATATATATATCGGTATATATATATCGATATATATATATATATATATATATATATATATATATTCATAAATATATTATAGAACCAGACTCGCTCTTCGCGCGCTTAGGTTCTAGCAGGCTCCAGGCCTTAACGACTTCGCAGTTCCACTGAAGAATGAGACACACGCGACTGAAACCAGAAGTAGGTACCCCGCCTCATATTACCTTTGCCATCAACAGCTTCTACGGCATACGAGCCAACCCATTAGACATGCAAGACATGCACGTGAATGCGCCCCTGGGAGTTTGTCAGGATCCCAGGGGTCTCTTCGAAGACTTGGTGAGTCCTGGAAGCCTCAGTGGCCTCAGTGGCCTCTTCGGTTTTGTAGGGAGTGCTTCGGAAACGTCTTGAGGGTTGCTGGGGACTTTGGGGCGTGTCTGGGAGCTCAGTGGTTCTGGTTGTCCCGGCGGGGCTCCTGTCTGGACACTCTCTTGGAGCCATGCTGGAGGCCAGATGAATCATGTTCCTGGAAGGCTTTCTGGGAGCAATAATTTGTGGTGTGCTGTTTGGAACGTTTCGTTGTCGTCGTCGCCTCTTGCGGAGCCTGGTTGGAGGCCTGATGAATCATATTCCCGAAGGCCAGAATGTGCTAGTTGGGTGTGCTTTGAGGTGGTGCTTGAGGCGTTCCGTCGTCGGCGTCGCCTCTGGGGGAGCCATGTTGGGGGCCTGATGAATCATGTTCCCGGAAGGCCTTATGGGAACATGATTTTTGGGAGTGTCCTGGGGGTCTGCTTGGGGTGATCCGTCGACCGTCGTCGTCGTCGCCCGCGTTGAATGGGAACCTGATGAATCATTTTCTCGGAAGGCCCTGCTTGGGACGTTCTCGGGAGCTCACCGAAGTCTCCCAGACGCTCCAGGAGGGCCTATGAAATCCCAGACAAATCCCAGACAGTGAAACAGGCCAGTCTGGGATTTGTCTGGGATTGTCGATTATGGAGCCCAAGATGAAACTCCCTGGCCTCATCTTGAGCATCCCTTGGGAACCTTTTATGGATCCCTCTACGTTACGCTGCATCCTGTAACATTGCATCCCACAGGACTCCTCTAAGGTTTTCATATATATATATATATATATATATATATATATATATATGTATATATCAAATGTTTCTCTGGATTAGGGGGTTGGGACACGCGACGGCACCACGAGGCGCCGAGAAGAAGCCCGAGAGGAGCCCAAGAGAGGCTGAAGAGGAGCTCAAGGGAAGCCCAAGAAAGGCTCGGGAGGGCTCCAAGAAAGCTCCCAGAGAGCACCCCACCAGGGGCACCCAACCCTTTGGGCACCACTGTCAGAAGGCGCTCTTGAGGCGCTCTTGGGCTTCTCTCGGGAGCCTTTTCGGAATCCACTGGGGAGCCCAAGAGGAGCCCAAGAGCAGCTAGTTGGCCCTCGTGGAACCATCTTCGAGGCGTCTTGGAGCCCTGTCAAAACCCCATCCGTGTCCAAAAGAAGCCCAAGAGTAGCCCGGGAGGGGCACAACAACACTCCAAGAGGACCCGAAGATGGCACACCGACAGTGGCACCCACGAGCCCCTCTTGGGTGCCAGTCGGGTGGCCTTTTGGGGGTCCTCCTGGGGTCCTCTTGGGCCCCCTCTGGTCTACTCTCGAGGCCCCGTTGGGCTTCTCTCAGAACCCTGGTGGGGCCGATCTGGGAAACCAGACAGAGCAAGGTGACCGAGAAACTTTCTCAGCCGCCCATTGGGTCGCTAAGGTCAACTGCGCGCAGCTGATCTCATAACTGGATATCGTTTAACCTGCCCCTATCCCCACTGGCGTGGCCCTCGTCCCACTGAGCGGTTTACCCCCCCTCACGGTGGGATGTATGCCGTGTCTCTCGGGCTTCAGGGGGGAAATCCTTACCTCGGCGGCGGGGGGAAGGGTAGGTTGGTAGGATGCACAATGGGGGTTGGGGTCGGTTAGCCGATACTGAATAACCTCCGCCGCTGGCGGCCCTGGATGTGTGAACCTCTTTCTCGGGATCAGCTCTATCCGGCTTATTATCCTGAGCTGTTTGTCGCTCCAGAAGACTAATGAGGGGCTGTGGAGCCTGAGAACGGCCGAAAACGTTCCGTCGTCGTCGTCGTCGTCCGTGGGAAGGGCCTCATGAATCCAAGTCCCAGAAGCCCTTTTCGGAACCTGAATTGTGGGAATGTCTTGGAGGCTACTTGCGGCATTCCGTCGTCGTCGTCGTCGCCAGTGTTAAGGGTCTGATGAATCATGCTCCTGGCAAGCCTTCTGGGGACATGATTTTTTGGAGTGTCTTGGGGGCCTGCTTGGGGCGTTCCGTCGTTGTCGTCGCCTCTTAGGGAGGCCTTTTGAAGGCGCAAGGAATGATGTCCCCGGAAGGCTTGTTGGCAAAATGAATGTTGGAAGTGTCATGGAGGGCTGCGTGGGGCGTTCCGTCTTCATCATAGCCTCTTGGGAACCATGTTGGGGGCCTGATGAATCATGTTCCTGGCAGGACTTCTAGGAACATGATGTTTGGGCGTACTCCTATCTTGGAGGGCTGCTGATGGCGCTGCGTCATTGGCGTCGGCCATGCCCCATGCCTGGGGCCTGATGAACCACGTTCCCAAAGGACTTCTGGGAGCATGGATCTTTGGGAATGTCTTTGGGGGCTGCTTGGGCCAGTCCGCCGTCGTCGCCGACTCTTGAGGAGCCATGTTGAGAGCCCGATGAATCATGTTCGCGCAAGGACTGCTGGGAACATGAATTGTGGGAATGTCTTGGGGGGGCCTGCTTGGGGCGTTCCGTCGTCGTCGTCGCCCATGTTGGGGCGTTCCGTCGTCGTCGTCAGCCACCGATTATCACGTACCTTAAAAAACTGGGCGGGAAACCGGTGAAAGACCGAAGTGGACGAGGAGGAGCAGGCAACGAGGGGAAGAAGAAGAAGAAGAAGAAGAAGAAGAGCAGGAAGATGGTGCATTCAAGTGATATTGCAAATATCGTCATCCGATGGACCCCCTCCTGGTCCCTCCGGGGCCTCCCCCTGGCCGCTCAAATTCTCTAGGGGCCTTCGGCCCATCCTGCCTCTTGGAAACAGTTTCGAAGCCTCTTGGGGCTACATTGGGGACCTCTTAGGCAGTCGTCAACGCCGTGAAAGCAGAAAAATCGCATTTGCTGAAGATGCACGTTATCCCTAGAAAATTATTGAGCCGCATCGCCGAAGCATCGGCGATGCGGCGCGATCCGCCGACTCCATGCGCTCGGACCCCATCTGGGAGGCCTAGAGCGGAGAGAGGAGGCATGAGGGGGGGGAGGGGAGGGCGGGAGTGGGACGGTGACAGGCAGGGGGAGGTGGGGGAGGGCGGGGGGCCTAGAAAAACTGGTCCGGGACGAGGTCCAAACATGCGTGGTTCCACGAAACTGTCGCTGGATGGGCGGCGGCAGCAGCGACGGCTCGGCACCGAAGCGAGCCGAGCTTCCAGGAAGGAGCGGCACAGAGATCTCTACTCTGTCGCCTCCGCGAAGCCATGCCACACTTGGGTGATGGGAGGTGGGACGTGGAGGGGGAGGGCGAGGGGAGAGGACAAAGACAAGCTGGCCAAATCTAACACCCTACCCCTCCACCCATCCCTTCCAATTGCGCTGGTTGTTCTCTATCCGCGGCGGACGGGTCTCGTAGCGGACTTGGAACTCCCAAAAATACCCCATCTTGTTATGCGCAATCTAAAAAAAAGGTGAGGTACGATGAGACAGGGGTGGACAACAAAACAGCGAAGCAGGGAGAAGGCTAGCTCTGACCACACTAGAGAGGGTGCCACCTGGCAGGCCTGGATGCTGACTCCACCGAATCGGGGAGCTGGGGGTGGACACCCTGGTCTGTCAGGATGCCCCACCCTGCACGATAGCAGGGGGCCTGCGCGGCACCGTCGCCCCTGCGGAGAGGAGTCCCCTGGATGACGCCCTCCCGTGGGCGAAAACCATGCCCGTATCCGCGGCCCCGGAGGCCAGGCCCCCCGGGCCACGGCCCCGCGGATACGGGGGGCGCGGAACGCACCCGTGCGACCGCGCATCCGCGGGGTCACAACCTGCACGGCACCACCGCGCCCGCTTCGGCAAACATCTCGTGGCCCAATCGGGAACTCAACCGGAGGCCCCAGTGGCTGCGTTCGGATGGCACCGCCACGCCCATCTGCGGCACACCCCTCGCACGCTTCGTGGCCCCATCGGGGGCTCCACCAAAGGCTCCAATGGCTGCGTTCGCATGGCACCACCGAAGCCATTCCGGCACACCCCTCACACGTTCTGTGGCCCCACAGGGAGCTCCACAGCTCCACCAATGGCCCCAGTGGCTGCGTTCGCATGGCGCCACCGCGCCCAGTATGGCACAACCCTCACACGCTCCGTGGCCCGATGGGGAGCTCTACCGAAGGGCTCAGTGGCTGCGTTCGCAGGGCACCACCGCATCCATGTCGGCGCACCCCTCACATGTTCCGTGGCCCAGTAGGGGGCTCCACCAAAAGCCCCCCCTCGCATGGCGCCACCGCGCCCTTCGGCACACCTCTCGCGCGCTTCGTGACCTCACAAGGAGCTCCACCGAGGGCGCCAGTGTCGGCGTTCGCATGGCGCCGCCGCACCCGTTTGAGCCCATAGGGAGCTCCACCAATGGCCCGAGTAGCTGCGTTCGCATGGCGCCACCGAAGCCATTCCGGCACACCCCTCACACGTTCCGTGGCCCCACAGGGAGCTCCACCGAAGGGCTCAGTGGCTGCGTTCGCAGGGCACCACCGCATCCATGTCGGCGCACCCCTCGCACGCTTCGTGGTCCCGAAAGGAGCTCCACCGAAAGCGGTACCCAGCGTGCGGTACTCACAACTGCATGTGGTTGGGTCCTGCGACCGGAGAGTCTCCATGCGTGGACCCCGGAGGTCTGGACAACTTCCCCAGGCCCCACTCTGCATCCAGCATCGTTCTCTGAGAGCCCCGGGGCCCGTTGATGGCACCGGGAGGCACAACAGAAGAGCCCCAGACCGATCGCTCGCATCTTCTCGGAGCCTCGGACCTCCTCGCCGCCCGTGACCCCCCCTCCCCCCCCGACTTTGGACGCCCGACATGGGTACCGAAAAAATGGGTACGATGCCCAACAGCAAGTGTTGTCCCAAACCAACAGCCAACAGCGGCCGCTGTTGGGCAGGCGGCCTTCTGTCTCAAATGTACACAGGCCGCGGCGGCGCGGACGGCGAGTCCTGCTCAAAATGAACAGGAACTGCTGTTGAGCATGGTACCCATCCTTTCTCTGCCCATCTCGTTCGTGCAGACCGACGCCTGGCGCGCCGAGGTCGTCGGAAGCCCGGCGGGGGGGGGGCGCCCGCGGAGCCCAAGGGCGAGGCCGGCTCGAGGCGAGCGGCCGCCTGCCGGGGCGAGCCGCTCGGGAGCGCCGACGGGGGCCCCGAGGAGCCCGGCGGCCGAGCGGGGCCGGCCCGAGGGCGGCGAGCGGACGTCCTCGGAGGGGACCCCGAGGGAGGGGGCCCCCGAGCGTCGCTCTCGAGGACCCTCCTCCTCCCTCCTCATCCTCCTCCTCCTCCTCCTCCCTCCTCCTCCTCCCTCCTCCTCCTCCTCCTCCTCCTCCCTCCTCCTCCCTCCTCCTCCCTCCTCCTCCCGGGCTCTGGGCCGAGGCGCCTCGAGGATCGGGAACAACTTTGCAGTGTGGTCCTGCTCTTCTGGCCCCTCCCAGACTATATCCGGCCGGGGTCTCAGGGTCCAGGGCTGCCCTCCGGCCTACCACTTATCTCCTGCTCCTCCTCGCGCTGATCCTCCTCGTCCTCATCATCCTCCGATGCTGTTCCTTGGGCGTCTCGCTTGCGCTTGACATGCAAATGCTGCCCTGACCATCGGGGCCGCCCATGCGGCAACTTCCGCGGCTTGCCGACCCCATATCCGTTGCCAACACGTATCACGACATGTTTCCACCTGATCACGATGTCCTCAACATGTGATTCGCCGTCCGATTCCTTCAGTGTGGTATGCTTGTCACCCCCTCCCGTCGCATGCCTAGTGCTCTATCCTACCAGTGTGCTGCTTCTCCCCAGTGGACCTGTCGAAATGGTACTCGTTCGCTTCATCGCCGAAGCGTACTACGTGCTCTCTCATGTGCCTGCCGTCTGCAAGGCATCGAATGGGGGATCCACTCACTACAAAGACGACGAAAAGCATGGCAAGAGAGGAATGCGGATTCCTCGTGTGAGAGAGAAAGAGGGAGAGACGGATCGAGAGAGAGAGAGAGCGAGAGAAAACATAAACAAGAGAGACAAAACGAAAGAGAGAGAGGGGGGATATATATATATATATAGAGAGAGAGAGAGAGAGAGAGAGACAGAGAACAACTAAACAAGAGAGAGAGAGAGCAAGTGAGAGATAGATAGAGAGAGAGAGAGAGAGCGAGAGAGAGAGAGAGAGAGAAAGCGATATCGCGAGGGAGAGGGAGGGATAACGAAAGACAGAAAGGACAACAGCCCTGGAGCCAGGCAATCTGCATTGACGCACTGGGAAGCCGAGCGCAGGGCTGAAAAACACCCCGAACTGGAAGCCCGACCCCGAGGGCGCAGATCTCGCAGAAGTGGCAAGCAAGTCTCTCGCCTTGTCTACGGCCTCGACCGGCCGAAATCTTACAAGGGGGCCTTCCTCGTCCGCAGAGCACCCATCCTCACGGCTGGGCCGAGCTGTGTGACCTCGCAGTTGGCGATGCACCGCCAGCGTGGGATGAGCAGAAACACTTGAGCAAACACTGTTCTGGGAGGCCAGCGGCGCTCTCCTCCCATCCTCCCGCCATGGCAGGGGTAAGACAGAGCAAATAGGCCCATGCATTGCCCCACTCGGGTACGTGCCAATGTGCATTAGGGTTCCGTGGATCTGGCGCGTGGGCGCCAGCTCCACAGATCGGGAACCGCACCCCCCCGAGCTACGAGCCGGTGCCGCCCCACCTGGCGACGGAGCGGGTCGACTCCGTATGGGGACAAGCCCGTCGCCAATCTACGCTCCCTGCTCCATGTCTGCGCTTCCCTGTGCTCATGCCCTGGGGGCAAGTGCTCCATGCATCCCACCAGGCTCGGTTTCCCCTGCGTGGTGATTCCCACGGCGGCGTGCCCTCGTGCACAAGGCGGCGCGCGGTGCGGCACGGCATGCCGCACTCCTCGCGGCCCGCTGGTTCATCCTGAGCAGTCGTTTGACGGCCCCAATGACAAGGAAGGGCCACAAGGAGCCGAGAGCGGCGGAATACCTCAGGACCCCGTTAGCTCAGGATCCCCCTTCTTGTTGGCGATCCCTTAGATCCGACGTGGCGAACAACCCTTCATGGCGGAAACATCACGGCATGATCCCGAAGCCCCATATTTCTCTTGTATTTTTCGACCCGGATCGATCTGTGATGGTCCCAGGGGAAGAACACGAGCGAAAACGCCCAGTGTGGAAAAGGTAAAACACGCCCCGATCTCAAGGTTCTCCATGGCGATCATCCTTGGCCTCCACCCCCTCTGGGAGGCCCGCTAGATGCAGTCTGAGTAGACGGGGTCGGCGGTTGGCGCCGCATCGCCGCATCATCGGCGATGCATCAGTGACGTCGACGATGCATCGGCGCCGGCGACGTGACGAACATCGGGCCCCACATCGGGCCGCATCGGCTGTGCATCGGCGATGCGGCGCGAGCCCCCGACCCCACCCTGCTCGGACCCCCCCCCTGGGAGGTCCAGGGCCCCCCTCGTGCTGCAGCCGGAGGCGGCCGCTGGGCGCGCCTCCGGGAGGCCGCCCCCCGCCGCGCGCGCGCCCTCCCTGCGGGCCTGGGCAAAACAGCCCCTGAGCGCGCCGCGCGCCGCGCGCCCCCGCGCGTCGCGCAAGAGGTAGGGGCGGGGGAGGAGGAGGAGCGGACCGAGGAGGGGCGGTGGGCAGGAGGGGCAGGAGGGGGAGGAGGAGGGGGACGACGACAACCGCGACGAACACCTCACGGGGCATGCCTTCGGAGGTTGACAGACCTCGCCATTGGAGGAGGAGGAGGAGGAGGAGGAGGAGGAGGAGGAGGAGGAGGAGGAGGAGGCCTATCGTGCCCCGACCTGGGTCCCCGCCGCGCAGCAGGGGCGCCGACGACGTGCTCACAACGAGCTCGCCTTCCCAGGGCTGGCACGCGCCACCATCCCCTGAAGGCCTTTGGCAGGCTGCGGCGCCGACATTGTGCGAAGACGACGCCGACGACGGCGACGACGCCGACGGCACGTTGACACTTGGCGGGAATTCTCGTTTCACTTTACGCAGTGTGCACTTGAATCCAAGAAAGTCTTGAATGCGGAAGCCGCGATGGAAAACGCACGGCCAACGTCAGGACACTAGGTAAATCAAACCGTACGGTGGGATCTCTCACTCGTGATAGCGAATTCCCAATCGCACGAGTATAACGTACGGCAGGTTATGTGCCGTGACGACCCCAGCGTTTGTTTCTGACACCGCATGTACTGTTCTGGATGATCGGCGGTTTTCTGAACGCCAGATCGTTGCATAGTTGAAGGCTCGGCACCTTGAACGCCCGCGCTGGGGTCGCAGCCGCGTCTGCGAGACACTAATCTGCCGTACGAGACTGAGGCGGCTCGTTGCTGAGGCCTGTAAGGCAATGCGCTGGCTAGTAGCATGTGCACCACGCAGATTGTGTGCAATAGATACAGCACGCATTCGCGAGTGATGGCGGGATGTATATTCACAGCAAAATGCATTGCACCAATCGGACCCCACAGCTGGGCGTGCGAGCAAAACTCCGCACAGATCGCCATCATCGCAAATCATCGACGGCGCTGCCACATGCTCCCTGTGGAGCACGCTCGTCATGGAAGAAGCCAGGCAGAACACAACAACTATCATGGACCGAGCGAACGACAACACGCGATTTGGCCACACATCCCCCATTGGCAACAAAGAGGCGATTGGCTTACCCGATCCCCGCACGATTTGTGAGTGCTATCTGGACCTCGGAAGCATCATGCCTGAACTGATGAGCGGTTTGGACTTTGGCCAGGCCCAATCTGACGCCAGCAGCAGACTACGCCACGACGGCCACCAATACAATGATGCAAGTGCAGGCGACAACAGCAGTGCAAGCGGACACTGCACAGGTAGCAGCCAACGAAAGCGAGTGGGAGAAGGGCATCGCCATGACAACAGCGCTCCCCATCGTGCAGCACAAAGCTGCCACCACCACGGAGTACACCAGCGAGGAGGAGTCTGAGTAGCAGGAGCTCGCCAAGCACGTCACGCAGGACGTCTACCAGCAGCTGGCAGTGCAAAGCACAATTCAGAAATTGAAGCGCAGCTGCACGACCAGCAAGAGCTCCGAACTGTAAACCCGCAGACAGCGTATCACTTACAAACATGGAATCACGAGCGAGCGCCAGAGGCCCAGGTGGTGGAGCCTAGTGGTTGTAGGCCATAAGGGTTCCAGCATCAAAGGCAGCAAACAATACCGCCTCACAATGGACCTCGGCGTCCCGGCCCGTTGACGCAGCAACGGATGCAGCGAGCAAGCACCCACGCATCCGAAGCTTTGCAGCGACCGGTGCGTACCGATGTGAGCGGAACCGCAGGGGAAGCCAGCACCCTCTGGCAAGATGCCGCTTCGCTGTGGACAGCTTCGCCCGATCCATCTTGCCAGAGGCCCCATCGCCGGCGGGTCGCTTCGCTCGCGGACCGTGCCGTTGCACCAGGGGCCGCCACGCTGGGGGGCCCTTTCCCAGGCGGGCCCCTCCCTCGGCGGACCGCTCCCCGGCGGGACGCTTCGCCGGCGGGACGCCGCGCCAGCGAGGCGCTCGGCCATCGCGCCGTGGCCGCTGTCGGCGTCCAGCTCGTTCTGCGAGTCGTCTTCGTTCGCGTCGCCCTCCACGTTCTGCTCGTCGTCTTTGTCCCCGTCGTGACGCTCGTCGCCCCCCGTCGTTTCGCTCGTCGTCGTCATCGTCGTCGTCGTCGTCGTCGTCGTCATCGTCCTGCCGCTGCTCGCATTTCGTCCAGCACGTCGTCTCCTCCGCCGCCCTGGCCGTCCTGCTGGCAGCCGTCCTGGGCGGGCGGACCAGGCTGAACCGAAGGGCGAACGGCCAGGCGCGCGGACCCAACCGCGGGTGCTGTTTTCCACCACCACCACCAGAAGCTGGAGGGAGGAAGGGGGAGGAGGAGGAGGAAGAACCGCGCGGGTTGCCAGGCGCACGCTGGAGCCAAAGGCAAGGCAGAATGGCGGCAGCCTCGACGAGATTACGGCTTGCCGTTCGCTTCTATGGAAGTCTGTCTGGTCAAGGTGTTGGCGGAGTAGCGGAAAGTAGCGGCAGAGAGCTGCAGATCACGGCAGCCGATGAGCGGCAAATAGCGGCACACGCCGCCGCGCCAACCTTCCTCCGATCACCCCCTATTCGCCGCCAGTGGCCCGAAAAACGTTTGGTGAAACCCAAGGCGTTCGTACCAAAAGACCTACGCAGCTGGAGTCCAAATCGAAATTTCTGTCAGGCGAAGCGTTGGCTCCATCCTTCCCCTGAAAGCACAGGTTTCGCGCCAGATCGACGAGACATGCAATGAAACGGCCAGAGAGACGAGGAGAAACGGGACGAAGAGAAACAGGACCCCGACACCGACCTGCGGAGAAATCGCAACATCGCGAGAACTCGTAGCAAGACCCCTAAAATCCGTCATCCCGCTGGATGTTTCGAGCCGCGTCTATCTGCGATGGTCTGGGGGCCTGGAGCCGGGCTCCTCAAGGATCTCCTCCCGCCGAGATCCGGCGGCGCAACAAAAATAGCGACATTACAAACTTCACGACTGGAGCCCTGGACCCTATCTTACACAGCTGCCTTTTTCGAACGGGATCGCTCTGTGAGGGTCCAAGGCCCGAAACCAAGCGAAAACGTCTGGGGTGAATCCGTTGTAGCGTCCACATCTCCTCTCCAGACATCAGGCGCTCCGATAGTTTCGAAGCGTGGACCCGTGGAGGTCTGGACAACTTCCCTTGGGCCAACTTTTCATTCGGAGTCTTCTTTCAACGGCTTCCGTGGCCCGTTGGCAGCCCCCCGAGGCCGAAAACGGCAGAACATCGGCCTTTCCAACTCCCTCCGAGCCTCGGATCTTGGGTCCCTCCCCCCGTCGATCCCTTCCTTCCCCTCCCTGGACGGTTTCCCCCGGGGCCGTAATTAGGCGACCCGAGGAGGGGAGGGCGAGGAGGAGGAGGAGGAGGAGGAGGAGGAGGAGGAGGAGGAGGAAAGGGAGGAGGAGGAGGAGGAAAGGGAGGAGGAGGAGGAGGAGGAGGAGGAGGATGAGGAGGAGGAGGAGGAGAAGGAGGAGGAGGAGGAGGAGGAGGAGGGGTCGCCTGAGCCCTTCGGAGAGAGACCCTCCGCCACCTCCCCCCCTCGCCCCTCGCGTTTCTGGGCCGCAGGCCGCGGGCCCGTTGCCCCGCACGCCCCGCGGCTGCCCGGCGGGGGCCGCCAGGCGCCAGTCGATGGGAGCCGCGCCGCGGGCCCGCAGGTGGGCGTTGGCCTGCCCGGCCCGGGGTGGGGCGGCGCACGCGGTCGGCGGGGCCAAGGCAGGCCAACGCCCCCCCGGGGCGGCCCCGGGTGGGCGTTGGCCAACAAGGCAGGCCAACGCCCCCCCGGGGTGGCCCGGTAGGAGTGGGGCCAAGGCAGGCCAAGGCCCACCCGGGGTGGCCCGGGTGGGCGCTGGCCTGCCCGCCCAGAGTGGAGGGCAGGACTCGGGGATGGACAGAACCCTCTTGAGCAAAGCGTGGTTTAATGGGAACGGCCTCGGGCCCAAACCTGGCGGGCGCAGTCCTGGAGAATGACGGCCGCGGCGTCCTCTCGAGCACCAAAAACGGAAAATTCACGAATCGACGTGTCAGGGTGGGGGTTTTGTCCACCCCCGAAAAATCCACCCCCCATGATAATCACCCCGACACGCGAAGCCGTGCAGTAGACGCATTCGCACAAGAAATCGAACAGGGCAGGGCTGTTCAGTAAACGCCCAGAGCCGCTTAGCAAACGCCGATGATCGGGTATGGGTGGCTTTTCCTCCCTTGACTGAGGTCCGTCTTTCTGTGAGAGCTGGGATCTGCACATGTTGTTTCACACCAGGCGTTGTCGCCCAGTGTCGGACCCAATGACCCTCACAGATCGGTCAGGCACGAACATGCCGCAGAAAGATGGGGTCCAGGGCTTCCGTCGCTACTGCTTCCAATGTTGTGCTGATCGTAACGTCGGATCTTAGAGTTTAGAATTCATTGCGACATCGCGAAAAAAACGCGACGTCGTGAGAAAGCTGCGGCATCGCGAAAAATTGTGTGTTGGATCTTCGGGTGGGCTTACCTGTCCCGTCCCTCCGCGCTCCGCGTCGAATCCGTGTCGCATTCGTGTCGGCCGCGTCGAATTTTGTCTAATCCACATCGAAGCCGCGTGGCACCCCCGCCAATTACGCGGCGAATCCGCGCCGTCCACGCGTCGGGTATCAAAAAAGACTTTAACTTGCAGGAGAAGCGAGGTCCCCCGAAGATGCAATTTCATTATCCCGGCAAAGCAACCTAACAGCGATGTGTAGAAGCACATCTGGAAGCATTCCCCTTAAGATTTAGGTGAGAATCCAGTTGTAGAAGTCTGCTGTTCTCGCAATCGCAGCCTCAGCCTGCCTCGGCTTGCCTCGGCCTCAGCCTCAGCCTGCCTCGGCCTCAGCCTCAGCTTCAGCCTGCCTCAGCCTCAGCCTCAGCCTGCCTCAGCCTCAGCCTGCATCAGCCTCAGCCTCAGCCTGCCTCAGCCGCAGCTTGCCTCAGCCTCAGCCACAGCCTCAGCCTCAGCCTCAGCCTGCCTCAGCTTCAGCCTCAGCCTGAGCCTGCCTCGGCCTGCCTCGGCCTCAGCCTCAGCCTGCCTCGGCCTCAGCCTCAGCCTCAGCCTGCCACAGCCTCAGCCACAGCCTGCCTCAGCCTCAGCCTGCATCAGCCTCAGCCTCAGCCTGCCTCAGCCGCAGCTTGCCTCAGCCTCAGCCACAGCCTCAGCCACAGCCTCAGCTTCAGCCTCAGCCTCAGCCTCAGCCTCAGCCTCAGCCTCGGCCTCAGCCTCAGCCTCAGCCTGCCTCAGCCTCAGCGTCAGCCTCTCAACCTCCGCCCTCAGCCTAAGCCTCAGCCTGCCTCAGCCTCAGCCTCAGCCTCAGCCGCAACTTGCCTCAGCCTCAGCCACAGCCTCAGCCTCAGCCTGCCTCAGCTTCAGCCTCAGCCTCAGCCTGCCTCGGCCTCAGCCTCAGCCTCAGCTTGCCTCAGCCTCAGCGTCAGCCTCTCAGCCTCAGCCTGCATCAGCCTCAGCCTCAGCCTCAGCCTGCCTCAGGCTCAGTCTCAGCCTGCCTCAGCCTCAGCCTGCCTCAGCCTCAGCCTCACAGTTTGCTCCGGGCAATCAAAATGTAACGTGGGCATTGTGTTCTGGGAACACGAAGAACACGAAGTGGCCAACAAATGGCTCCGGGCATTCAAAATGTGGCCCGGGAATTGTGTTCTGGGAACACGAAGGACACGAAGTGGCCTACAGTTGGCTCCGGGCATTCAAAATGTGGCCCGGGAATGGTGTTCTGGGAACACGAAGAACACGAAGTGGCCTACAGTTGGCTCCGGGCATTCAAAATGTGGCCCGGGAATGGTGTTCTGGGAACACGAAGAACACGAAGTGGCCTACAGTTGGCTCCGGGCATTCAAAATCATGCCCAGGAATGGAATTGTGGGAACTCGAAGACCACGAAGTGCGTTACTGTTTGCTTAAAACGAATTCCCCGGCATCCCCCTGGATCCTGCCCGGACCCCCCTGGGGAGTCATGATGCTCTCTTTTGACCCTACTAGAAACCTATCAGTAGTCGCTGTTAGGTAAAAAAGCATGACCAGAGCCCGATACCAGATCTGTCTGCTGCGTTTTCCGAGCCTGATCGATCTGTGACGGCCCTCGGGAGCGAAACAAGACGGAGTCGCCCAGTGGGAACAAAACTGTAACCCCCGAGTCTCAGGGTGAGGTGTATCCCTGGCCCCTAGAGCCCACTGGCCCATCGCGAACACCATACACCTTTTCATTATTCCCCTTCCCTCCTCCTTCTCCTCCTCCTCCTCCTCTTCCTCCTCCCCCTTTTTCGTTGGCGAAGCGATGACCCGCGCCTCAAGGCGGCGGCGACGGCGATGGCCTGGCCGACCACAGGGTAGCGTGCGCAAGCAGCCAGCGGCGAACCCCCCCCGCCCACCGTTGAGTGTTCAACCCTCTCTGATTCAGACTCGCTAACTCGCTTCCTCACAACATCACCCAATACCTAGCGACCGCAGCCTTTTTTCCGAGTCAGCCTTGGTAGAGCCAACGTACCTCCTGTGCAAGCGGGCGCGGCGCTCGTGCAAGGTCAGAAGAAGAGAATGACGGTACGGAGACGTCTTGGGTCAAGCTTCACTTTCTCAGCTCTTGGCTGTTATAGCATGTTCATTCTGCGTCTACCGTGTAGACTCAGACTGTAGTGATGGGGGGCGAACGCGTGGAGAGAACAGCTCAAGATAAGTCCGTGAAAGACTTTGTGAAACCATGCGAGAGGGAGATCCTGGAGATGAAGGTGAATGCGTCCGACATGGACGATTTAATTTTACCAGCCAGGTGGGCGTGAATGGTTTAGGGGGTTGCCTCTTCCATCTTCACTCTTCCCTTTCGGGGAGAAGATCATTACTGTTCCCTATGTATAAACAAACCCCTCCCCCAGGCGACCGGCAACGTACCAGGACCAATGGGCACCCCCCACACATCCCTTTCAAAAAAAAGGTGAAGTCCACTTTGGGGCAAACTCTTGGGTCATGATCGAGGGCGCCGCGAGCACTTTGTATTGTTTCTTTTTGACGGGGACGGCGGGGGTGCCCACATGTTGCCTGCTGCGGGCAGGGCCAGCATCCTGGTCAACAAAAAACAAATTAAAAAACGGCATGTCGAAGCAAAATCTGGATCATGCGCGGGCAGCCCGCGATCACTGTGCATTGGTTTTTGACCGGGACGGCGGGGATGCTGGCATACTGCCTGCTACGCGCAAGCCCACTGAACGCTATGTTGGCCACCTCGCCGCAATTGCACACTGGTTTTCGACAAGGGTGGTGGGGCCGACACGTTCCCCGATGTGCACTGCCACGTGCGCAGGCGCACCTGCCACACTCTGCGCGTGCCCCGAACGTGGTGCACCTGGCGCGGCTGGAGCATGCCGCACACATGGCGCACGTGGATCACGTACGTGGCGCATCTGGCGCACCAGGCGTGCCCGGCACGCTTGGGCCGCAGGGGTGCCTGGCGCACCTGGCGCGCGTGGTGCGCCTGGCACGCCTGGCGCACCTCGCCCCAGCGTTGCGCACATGGGGGCTGTTTTGGTTCTCACTAGATGTCCGCCAGAAGACTACATCTGAACACGCTACGGCCCGGGTGCTACTGATGTGTTGGGAAGGCGGGTGGGAGTGAGCGAGACGGCTTGCGGGAGGGGAGGGTGTCTTGACCCCTCGCCCTGCCCCCTGCCCTTTGGGTCTGGAGGGGAGGTTTCGCAAGGGGTTGGAGCGTCCAAGATGTCCTCGGCGAGGAAGCCAAGATCAATGATGTTACCAAGGTTCTGGCCACATGTTGGCCTCCTAAGGGAAGGGTTCTACTCGAGTGTGGCCCGTCCTTTGGTCGACCTTCTCCACAATGGACCCTGGATGGCCCCCGAAGCTCCCAAGCGTGCCCCAAGGGGGCCTCAAGAGGTGCCCAGGCCCCAAGAGGCCACCAAGAGGCGCCCAGGACGACCCCAAGAGGCCCCCCTCCATACACCAGAGAGGGGGAGAGCGCCCGAGAGCGAGAGACAGCCAGCCAGACAGACGAGCGAACCCACCGACGGACCGCCTGGCAGCCGGGGGCGCGGTGCGAGCGGGGCCCTTCCCCGCGGCCCGCCGCCGAGAAGTGGCCGCAGCCGAAGAAGCCGCGCCGCGCGGACAGCGGGCTGGGGTGCGCCGCGACGAGCACCCTGCCGTCACGGGGGTCGGCCGCCCCCCGCCGCCGACCCGCCGCGCGCCCCAGGGGTGCTCCCTCCTGAGGGCGAGGAGAAGGAAAAGGAGGAGGAGGAGGAGGAGGAGGAGGAGGAGGAGGAGGAGGAGTAGAAGGAGGAGGAGGAGGAGGAGGAAAAGGAGGAGGAGGAGGAGGAGGACGACGAGGAGGGGTAGGCGGAGGGGTGCTCCCTCCGCCGGCAGCCGCTGGCTGCTGCTCGGCCTCCTCCTCCACCTCCCTCCAGCTGCGGGCCCCGGCGTTCTCGGCCTCGTGCCTCTCTTGCTTTATCACCCGCTCCTCCGTCCCCTCCCCCTACCCTGGCCTGCAGCAGGTGGAGGGCTGGAGCTTTCCGCAGAAGCTGGCCGCAGGGAGCTGTTCCCGCAGCGCCCATGGGGCATGCGGGCATGCAGGTATAGCTTACAGACATGCGTCTGCACCTGGACACCACCGTCTAGCTGAGGAAGCCACACCTGAAACGCCACACCCATACCAAAATCCATGAAATGCGACTTGCCAAAGGCAACTTACCGCAACACACTCCAACACCTCGCCGAATACAAGCATGTCCACCAGACCTTGTCTGAACATCCTGGCAGACTCTCACCAATCCTCTGGAAAAAGCCTTCGGAAGCCAGCCATAAACTATCCTATGCTCCGTAGGCTCCATCGACGAAAGAAAACAGATGAAGAGGAATCAGGTCGGGGGACAAGGGCACGATGTCTGGTCGTTGTTGGAGCATCCCTGAAGCTTCGCTTCATCTGGTTAATGAACTGTCCTGTACCACTCCCGGGGGGGGGGGGGGGCAAACGGAAGAGTGGAAGCAAGAGGATAATGAGGACGTGATGATGCAGGGGGGTAGGAAGGGCAGAAGGTGGATACGAACCATCGAAGAAAGATAAGGAGGATAATGGCGAACACGAGAAGAACGAGAAGTGGGAGCAGGACGAAGAGAAGGACACCGAGGAAGATCCTATTATTTGGTAGGGAGTTGCAGGTGGGGCCCGCCTAGCACCGCTGGCGGCCCCTGTGCGAGCCTCGCGAAGCTCAGACGATCATCCCGTTCTGGTTGAACTCGTCATGCAGCGGCAGAGCTTCCGCTCGAGCGAGCCCACAGGGCGGCAGAACGCGCCGTGGCGCCCTACGCTGCCACGACAGGCGGCGAAGAAACGCTGAACCAAAGGAGCCACGCTGCGCATGATTACACCTTGTTCATTCCTAACCGTGCTCATTCCTAATCGTGCTCGTTTCTCTAATTCTTCCTGGCCCCCCAGTGGCCAGGAAGAGGCCCATGATGCAAGAGTTTGAAATGAAAAAAGATCCTGGCCCCCCAAAAAAATCAAAGCACTCTCGAGGAATCAGAAACGGACCACGTGCACAGACCACCGGCAGGAACCGCCTGCTTTGCTCGGAGGGCCTGCTGCTCAGCGCCCCCCACACGAGCTGCGGTGCTTGGGCCGACGGGTGGCGGCCTCGCCGCCCCCTCCCGCGGGCGAGGCCGGAGCCGCTGGCCTCGCGCTTGTTGTCCCTTGCCTCCTCCGCCTCCTGGAGTCGTCGATCCCCAGGAACATACGGGAGAATATGGGAAGTCGGGGGGCAGGACGCAGGCCCATAAGATATGGGAACGTATGGAGAATCCTGGGATGTGTGCGCACTTGTTTATAAAATCGCTGCGCTCATTCCGCTGGCCCTGGAGCCCTCTGTAGGGCCTCTCTGGGGCCTCTTTGGAGCCCTCGCGGATCTCACCGCCGAGCTCCTGGAGGCGGCAAACACTCGGCTCGGACGCCCGCCGGTCTGCTCCTCTTCCCACGGCGCGGCCCCAGACACATAATCCCGAGCCCCGCCGCGGGGGACGCTGCTCCGCCCCGGAAAACCGTGCTCTGGAGGCCCCCCGGGGGCCGGAGAGCGGGCCCCCCGAGGCCGAGGCCGAAGAAGAAGACACTGGCGGCGAGGATCGCGGAGAGGATCGAAGAGATCGAGTCGAACCTCGTGGATGACCAGGAGAAAACACATCCCCAATCCCAAAATCGCGGAGTCGCCGAGGATTCGAAGATCGGCCAAAGATTTCGGGGTATGCTTTGCGTTCGTCGTCGTCACCCGGGTAAAGCCCTACCCCAAAATCTCCCTCCCCGAAGTCTCGAGGTGTCTGCGTTTTGTCTTGGCCCCCGCGTTTTTGGGATTGGGCGTCTGCTTTGAGTTAGTGAGTGCAAGCCTCCTCGGTCGAACCGATTTCTTCGGTCGGACCGGCCGACTTCTTCGACCGAGCCGATCGAACACGTCAAGGCAGCCGAGTCGCATCGGAGATCTGGCATCGCCGCCGTGCTGCTGCGCCGCAGGGCCCGCGCCCAGCCGCCCGCAGGGCACGGGGCCGGTCCTCTCGCCTGCGCGGCGCGGGCCCTGCAAAGGCTCGCGGCCTCGGCGACGCCGTGCTCGCGGCCCCGACGGGCTGGGCGCTCGCGGCTCCGCGGGGCGGGCTCGCAGCCCGCCCCCCCCGGAAGCCCCGTCCTCCGGCGCCGCCACGGGCCCCGAGAGCTGCGCCCCCTCGCGCGCAAGGCGCGCCTCCGGTGCAGGAGGAAGGGATGGCGAGGGAGAGGAGGGCGCGGACGGCGAGGGGAGGAGGGAGGACTCAGGGGGGACAAGGCCGAAGACGGCCACAGGCGGACTGCGAGGCATGGGGCTCGTTTTGCTTCTCCGTGGCAGTCTCGTGTCGAGACACCCGCTCGGTCCCAGAGGGGGGCCACGCGTGTTGCCCCGAAGACTCATCGGCGCAGAGCGGGCCCTGACTTACTGCAGTGCGTCTGCTACAGTGCCATCACCACCGCCAGGGAGCACCCGTTTCCCACGAGGCGTACCTGGAGCACGCGGCGGGAGCGGTGCCTGGGCAGTGGCAACCGGAGGGGGCCCTTTACAGCCTGCGTACTTCATACAAATAAAAATCGGATCATGCATTCGAGAGAGGTTTGTGTCGGCGAGGGGTGAGACGGAGGCGGGCTTCAAGGTGCTGCTGCGGCGTGCCAGGGCGGGCCAGGAGACAAGCATGATGGGTGACCAAAAAAAGCATCAACACAGGCGGCGCGTTTCAAACAAGACTGGACGCTACGGAAGAACACGAGAATGGAAACGGTAAACCAACACGGGCTCACGGGTAGATGAGGAGCACGACCATCGCAAACTCGAAGCGGACCTTGGAGCCATAACCCGCAAAACTGTTTGGACCTCGAACCCGTTCCCCTGTCCTCTGGATCAAGATCCAGAGGACGGGAGACTCCGTCCTCGGGAGCAGGGCAGTTTAAGCGACAACCATCGGCAGGCTGATGGAATCGGGTAGACGTGTTGAACGAGGCAGTCGAAGAAGGCGCCGCGGTGCCACTTCCGAGAGGTACATGTCGACGGCAGCTGGATCGCGTGCGGCGCGGCCTGGGGGCCTGGAGCCAGGATGGCTGCGAAGGAGGGAGGGCGGGAGGGACGAGGAGGGCCGCGGAGATGCCCGGACACACGCCGATGGAGGGAGAGAGGGACGAGGAGGGACGAGGAAGGGCCGATGGAGGGAGGGACGGCCGAGGAGGGACCACGGAGGGCCGAGGAGGGAGGGACGAGGAGGGCCGAGGAGAAGCGGGGCGGGGGAGCACGAGGACGCAGACATCCCAGACACCCGCCGACGCAACGTGTTTCCCTCCGACCGCTTCCCCGGGGCCAAAGCTTCTCCCCGGACCTGGCGCCGAGGGCCCCAGGGCCCGAGGACGGCCCCACGGAAGCCCGGCAGCCTGTTCCCGCTCCCCCGCCCTCCGCCGGAGGCCCGGCGTCGACGCAAACACACAGCGCGCCGAATTCCGATCGTCGGAGAGCTGAAAGCCCACTATTCTTAGGCCGGGCCTGTCCCCATACAGGGGCATCTGGGGCGAAACAATTGAAATACAATACCCCCCAGATGCCCAACAATGATAGCAAGATGGTCCCCAAACTAGTTTTTGACTGTGTTTGAATACACCTCCTGTAGAGGGACCTGCTCGACTCGACACGACTCTCACAACACCGACCCCAGATCTGGACCACCTCCCCTGGACCACCTATTCCTCCCGAAGCCGCTCTGCCGACGGCCCTGGGGCCGGACGAGGAGGGCCCCTGGAGGCGGCGCCGAGTGGAAGAGGCGCCTCCCGTCGTAGAATGCTGTCGCGGCCACGGGGAGGGGCCGGGGGAGGGAGAGAGGGCGGGAGGGAGGAGGCCAACGAGGAGGGGCGGGGAGCAGGAGGAGGCGCGGCGCGCGGCCCCTGGCCTGTGGCGGCCCTCGTCGACCGCCGAGGCCTCCGCTCGCGCCGGGGGGGCGGGGTGGGCAGCGCGGGGAGGGGGAGGGCGAGGCTCGTGAGCGCCCCGCGGCTGGTCGACGGCCCCCCTGGTGGAGGGGCAGCCCCCTGCCGGCGACGAGGATACTCTGATCCAACCAACTTTGGGTCGGGCACGTCCTCCGACAGGCGGATTCTGGAGGAAAGATCCGCAGCAGTCAAACCATGTTTTTCTACCATCCCCCATCGTCAAGGCTCTCCTGCTCCCGATCCTTCAAATGTTTTTCAAGTGGGGCTGGGGCCCCTTGCCCAGACCAGCTCGCATCGAAACCGAGACGTGCTACACACAGCGCCACGCGTGGAAGCAGCAGCAAGGGCAGGGAGCGGGAAAATGGCAGCAGAGGGGGAACGAGGAAGAGCAGAGAGCAGCCCGGAGAGAGGCAGGAGAGCGAGCGAGAGAGGAGGCAGCACAGCAAGCAGCAGCAGTCAAAAATTGTTCAGCAGTGATCAGAGATACTCCAGAAATCGTCCCCGGGCTTTTTTTCGTTTCTGTTCAAGCCTTCCTCCTGCGGAGGGACATGCCGGGTGTAAAACGAACTGTCGATGGGCGGCCATGGCATCCTCTTCCCCACTGTGGGGGTGCTGGCCCGCGCCTCGCGATTTGAGGGCGCGCTGCGACAAGCGGGGGGGGGCGGGCCGTCGAACCCCGGGGGGGGCGCTCCCAGTCGGGCGGGGGCCCCCATCCGAAATTCCACGCCCGTGCTCTGCCCCCGCCCAGAATCCAACCCTGAGACGTCTGGGGGTCGCACGGGTATGGGCCCAGCTGAAGATCATGAACTGAAGGGCGGGGAGGAAGCCACAGTCTGGAGAGTGCTGGGGGCTGTCCCCCAGCCCCCCTTTCCCTGAGATCGGTCTCCTTTTCCATCCTCACCGTGGTCGAGTTCCTGCGGAGTCGTAGGTTCCCGTAGGGTCTCAGGCGACCCACGGTTCGCGGGACACAGAAGACACAGAGGGCAATGAGGAACTCAACTACCCTGCCCCCCTCCCCAGAGGAGGAGGAGGAGGAGGAGGAGGAGGAGGAGGAGGAGGAGGAGGGGGAGGAGGAGGAGGAGGAGGAGGAGGAGGAAGAGAGAGAGAGAGAGGGGCAGGCGGAGGAAGGAGGAAGAGCAGGAAGGGTAAGGAAGAAGGGGAGGCGGAGGAAGAGGAGGAAGAGGAGGCGGCGGATCGAGGATCGAGGATGAAGATTTCGGGCCGTTTGGGACTATTTTCTGGCTGCGGGGGGCCTCCAAAGAAAACACCCGGGGCCTCTGGGGACCCCCTGAGGTCGATGTTTGACGGTCCTGGAACCCGTTCAGGGTCCCATTGATGCCGAAAACGACAAAAAAAACCTTCCGCTCCAAAGTTTGCAGAGCTTTGGATCTCTGTGCAGGTGGTTCGTTGGTTCGTTCGAGGACGTGCCCACTTTGGGGGCGCACATCAAGAAACCATATGGTGTGGATCCCTGGGGACGAGGCAAGGACACCGCGGCTGCGGCATCGGTATCCTTTGGACCCGGGCCCTTTTGGTGTGCTCCGCGGGGCACGTCGCAGGAAGCCCCGGGAGCCCGGGGCGCGGCGCCGGGGGGCAGCAGAGGCGGCAGCTGCCGGGTGCCCGCGGCCTTCTTCTGGGCGTGCCTGGCGGGCCGGAGCAGGGGGCGAGGGCCATCGGCCCGTCCCCGAACTGGAGGCCTCCCAGATGGGGTCCGAGCTGGCACGGCCGGCGGGCTCCGGCTCCCTTGGCCAATCGATGCCTACCCCGCGCACCGCCCTGCCGATGCCTAGGCATTGCCAGTGCGATGCCTAGGCATCACCGGGTCGATGCCTAGGCATCGTCAGGTCGATGCCGAAGCATATGCTACGCCCAGCTACGTCCAGCTACGTCCACGGACGCATCCCTCAATGCATCCGTAGGCATGCCCATGCGTATGCCTTGGCATCAGCAGTGGAGGATCGCGCCGCATCGCCGATGCATCGGCAATGTATCGGCAATGCATCGGCGATGCATCGGCAAACCATCGGTGATGCACCAGCGCTGTCGGTGGTGCATCTGCGCCGTCGGCGTGGAGAAGATCGGGCTCCACATCGAGCCGCATCGCCGATGCATCGGCGATTCGGCGCGATCCTCCGACACCATCCACTCGGACCCCATCTGGGAAGCCCAGACGAACGAGCGAACGAACCACCTCCCCGATTCTCCAAGGCTCCGAAAATCTGGACCGTTCGGTTTGTGGCAATTTTCGGCCTCGGGGGGCCCTGGGCGGGTCCCAGCACCGTCAGAAACGACTCAGGACAAGAAACCGACCCAGGGAAGTGGTCCAGACCCACGGGGGTCCATGCATCGAACAAACTGGAGCGCTGGATGTCTGGGAACGAACGAACCACCTCTGCGGACAGTCGTCTGGGCCTAAGCTGAGACCAGACGAGCGACGAAAAGAGGCGGGTCCTTCGCAAGAAGACATCGCGACCTCACGCCGCAGCACACGCGGGCCCCCAGCGTGGCACGCCGCGCAGAGAAGAGGGCGCTCACGCGTGATCTTACGCGGGAAGCTTGCGCGCCAGTGTCCGCGCTGTCGTGCCCGTTGCCTTCCATCGCTCAGGCGGGGGGCCGTGGCCTTTTGGAACCTACATGCGTGCCTGGCGACTGCGACTCTCCAGGGCGCGAGCCCGCCCGAGCCGACCCAAATGTTCGACGACTCGGTTCTTGCCAACCCCGGCGGGCTTCCCGGGATGTGGGCGTTCCAAAGTGTCCACGCCCGGCGTATTCGCATGGCTTCGGCCCGGTTTAGGGACCCGAGGCCATCACACATCGATCCTGCTCGGCATCAGTAGGGCCCCAGAATGGAATCCTAGAGAATCCTTGCGCAGACCGCACGCCGTTCCCGTCCGGGTTCGCGCTTGCGCGCCTCAGGAACCCCTGAAGTGTATATGCGCCTAGGAATCCCCAGGGCTCCGGTCATGATCTGTCATGTTGTTGCAATTTGGCGCAACGTCGGAGCTCAGGGCGCTCTTCGGTTTCGGCCTCTGGGGGCCGTTCTCGGGCACACAGACCACCGAAAAAGGACCCTGGGCCGGGGCGGTAAGCTATGCAGGGGGGAAGCCGTCGGGACCTCTGGGCCACATGTCAGGGCCAGGGCCGGGGCCAGGGCCATTTCCAGACATGCCATGCCACTCCTTTCAATACGTGGTCCCCGGAAGTCCCGACCCATTCCACGGGACAGGTTCTTCATCCTGGGCCTCTTTTTTTTTCTGACAATCCGAAAACCCGGAGGCCGAAAATTGCCCAAATCCTCTTGCCTTGATATTTAACGACGCGAGAGTGTCTGGGTTTCGTACGGACGCCCCAGCACTGGAAACTTTCGGCTTCCCCGCCTCGTTCCCCCGCTTGGCTCCCTGCCGCCCTTCTGCTTGCAATTGTTCTCCCCCCGGAGCGCGAAGCGCGTACGCCCTGGGCTATCCAGCGGTACCAAGATGCCGAGGTTATGTGCTCAGTATCCCCACGGCTGATCAAGCGCGAATGCCTCTCCTTGTCGCCCTGTCTCCGTTCCCCCCGCCGTCCCGTTTCCTCCTCCTCCTCCTCCTCCTCCTCCTCCTCCTCCTTCTCCTCCTCCTCCTCCCTCGACCCCCAGCGGCAAGGATTATGAGGCAGGCTCGTGGGCTTCACGCACGACTGTCCGAGGTCCAGTGCAGGCTTCTGCCCAAACGTGCGTCCCCCTTCATCCCCCGCAGGAGGCGTCGTCGGCAGCAAGGCCTATCCCCTGTGGGGTGTCCTAGAAGCGGGGCAGAGCAACGCGAGCTCTCGTCCATCATGTCTCTTCTGCCCTCCAGTCTCAGCTACGATCGCAGCTGCTGACTACGACCACGACGGCAAGGTTGGAGCATGGGAGACGTGGGCGAGGGAGAGGAGGACAACTGCAAACAGACGGGCTGGGCCAGGGGCAGTGATACAAGGGTCACCCGCGGCTAGGCTACGGGCACTCCGGCGACCATATTTCTTTTCCCTCTTCGACCTTCTGCTCGTCATTCCCCCTTCTCGTTCCTCCTCGTCCTCCTCATGTCATCAACTGGCATCCTTCAAGAACACTCATCTTTGTCGGACCACCAGGCGCGTCGATGGGGCGAGCCAGGCGTTCCGCCTGAGACTTCCTCACAAGGTATGCTCTCGAAGCTTGAAGCTTGCAGCAGCTACACAAATCAGGCACAGGTGGTCTTCAACCTGTGACCCTCGCTTTTCTGCCACAAACTCGGGCCGTGACACATCAAACAGCTACACTGATGGAGCACGGGTGGTTTTGAAAATGGGGCCCTCGTGATGGCGCCGCGCACACTCTCCTTGAACCAGCCAAGCAACTACACGGATTGAGGGCGGCTCGTTTTCAAATTCGGGTTATCCCTCCCCTTGCCTGCCTGGCCCGTGCTTCTGCACGGCTGGCACTCGCAGCCCTCCAAAGCCTCCGCGACTGCACAGATGCAATCCAGCCGGGGCCCCGGGGACCGCAGCAGGGCGGTTTCACTGTGCGAAGGGCGTGCTTCGTTACACCTTCACGGGAGCCTGAGTATCCTCTGGGAGAGCAGGCTGTCGGCCACGCGGCCGGGACAGATACCTGCCTCTTGGGGCCGGGTCTCGTGGCACAAATCTCGGCTCTGCAGCCGAGGGCGGATGCACAGCAAGCTCTGCTCGGTGGGATCCCCTTCCCCTCAGTTGGCAAGCTGGCGGTCTCCATCGTTCTCGAGCTTGAAGGAAAGCCGAGACATGACTTACTGCGTGGAGCTCCCCATATTTGCATATATAAGTGGTATTGTATTAAGGATATTTGCATGACGTCTAGCCATATGAGCCATATGCGAATCTCATATTGTAGGGTAGTGCTATGGTGAGCACCTGTCTACCCCCGCGGGTTTGTTTTGGCGTCCCTGATGCTAAGGAGTCTGTGGAACTCACGTCATCCTGAACCTCGGCGCGCGAGAAAATTGGCCTGACCGCCGCCGCCCTAGAAATAAAACAGACGCCAACACTACCAGGGAAAACCAGCTTGAGGAGCCAGGGGGGTCTCCCTGGTGGTGCTGGTGTCGCCTCTCGCTCAGGACATCCCCCTTTCCCAGCTCGGGGAGGCATCGCGGACCTCCTCTCTGGAGGAGGCCTCCCTGGTGGTGTTAGCGTCGCCTCGCCTCCTCAGATGTATAACGCACTTGCTACATATGCGAGACTTGCGTCTGCACCTCCCGTGTTTCCCCTGTCCCGGAGATCCTTTCTGAGCCCCCGTAGCCGCCAGAAACAAACCCAAAACAATATGTGAACCGTCCCGGGTTCCCCCCGCGCGTGTCGTGACGATTTTATATCGCAAACTATATTAATTTGCGCCAAATCTCAACGACTCAAGCCCTGTTCCGTCCCGGAGGGAACACTTGTGCTCCCAACCCCGGGGAACGTAAAAAACAAACAAATGCGTTAGTTTCCCCTTACTACCAAACACGAAGCAAAGCTCATCTCTCCTCCTCCTCCTCCTCCTCCTCCTCCTCCTCCTCCTCCTCCTCCTCCTCCTCCTCCTCCTCTCGTATCCGATCGTCCTACTCGCAGGGAGAGAGAACCTTTTCAAGTTCCATCTCCAGTTCGAACGTCGTCGGCGAGAAAGTGAACCTTTGAAAGTTCCCTTTCCCGTGGCTGAAGGGTGAACCTTTTCAAGTTCCCCCTTCAGTCCGACCACAAGAGGGAGAGTGAACCTTTTCAAGTTCCCTCTTTCTGAGCCCCCAGAGCCGCCAGAAACAAACCCAAAACAATATTTGAACCGTCCCAGGGCCCTCCCCCGCGTGTCGTGACGATTTTGCATCGCAAACTATATGGGTTTGCGCCAGATTTCAACGACTCACGCCCTGTTCCGTCCCGGAAGGAGCACTTGTGCTCCCAGCCCCTGGAAGGCCCAAACAAGTGCGTTAGTTTCGCCTTACTGCCAAACACGAAGCAAAGCCTCCTCCTCCTCCTCCTCCTCCTCCTCCTCCTCGTCCTCCACCTCCTCCTCCCCCCCCTCCTCCTCCTCCTCCTCCCCCCCCTCCTCCTCTTCATCTCGCGTCCCGCAATCGTCCTACTCGCAGGGAGAGAGAATTTTTTCAAGTTCCCTCTCCAGTTCGAACGTCGGCGAGAAAGTGAACCTTTGCAACTTCCCTCTCCCGCGGCTCGATGGTGAACCTGTTCAAGTTCCCCCTTCAGTCCGACCACAAGAGGGAGAGTGAACTTTTTCAAGTTCCCTCTCCCCCGCCTGGAGACTGAACCTTTGCCAGAACCCTCTCCCCCGCCTGGAGAGAGAACCTTTTCAAGTTCCCTCTCCAGTTCGATCACGTGCGGGAGAATGAACCTTCTCAAGCCCCCTCTCCCGAAGCTGGAGAGGAAACCGTTTCAAGTTCCCTCCCCAGCCAAAAACGCAGGCGGGAGAGTGAACCTTCTCAAGTTCCCTCTCCCGCTGACGACGACAAGACTGGAAAGCACCACGGGGAGAGAAAACAACATCCCATGGGGACACAAGCTCTGCGCCAGCAACACCCGGTCACTCCTCCGTGACCGCCGCACACAACGGGGAGAACCACTCGGGACCAACGCAAAAAAGAGACAACAAGCAAACCGCTAGAGACATCCCCACAAAACG